GGCTTCAGATATGGTATCTCAAAACCTTTATGAAAAGCTCCCAGACAAAGCCTGTAACAACCCCACTTCACTACAAGCCTTCATAAATTGTTCCAAGCCTTCCTTTGACCTTTAGATGCTCAGTTTGACTGGAGCTCTTCCAAAACGACACCCTTAACTGCATTCACAAAAAAAAGTGCCTGGTGATCAGCATAGGTCCCAGGGAAAAGAGAAACTGCAGCTGTAACTGTAAAGAAAAAAATGGACCTAAACTGTAAACCGGACACGAAACAAAGATGTGAAAAGAACTTACTTTACACTAGTCTCACTTCACTCTTTATCAAAGCACACTCCACAACTTTCAATATGTGCATTACTCTTGATTTCACGCACACACAACCTCTACACTGAGAAACACTGCTACTTTAAAAATACAACTGCAAGGAATGCTGTCTGATGGCTTATGCTCACCAGAGTGCTGTGACTGAGTATGAAATCAGCTTTCTATAAATGGCATCTGCAAAATACCTGTGCCTACTTTAGGGAAAACAATACAAAACCAACCCCTAAAGAGTCTACAAAACCACACTCAAAGGATTAATGCCTCTTAGACTTAGTAACATTCCTGCTTATTCCTCCTGTCCTGGGTCAACTACCCATGTCAATGTATATAGTGTGCATCTACTCTGACAGTACAGGACATAAAATCTATGATGCTGGTGGGTGTATATCTTATTCACTAATGAATTTTAAAATTCAATTTTACTGTATCATTACCCTTTTTCAATACTTACACAAATTTTCTAATGATTACACTCGTCCAAAATTCTCTAATACCAAAAATGAGACGGTAGATTAACGTTTAATGTAGCACACCCCACCGGGCTGTCTACACAATCTAAAGATCTCTCTCTTGTCCCGTCACGGCTGTAAATACCACCATGCATTCACTCTGGCCTAACACTGCCAAATAAAGCACCAGGCCTCTTTTAAAACGGCACAGCAACTCAATACCAGCAACAGCAAACATTTAGAAGTGCTTACCCCCAGGCCGGGAAACAAGAGACTTCCTTATTGGAACCATAAACGTTCAAGGATTAAACAAGCCTTTAAGAACATAGAAAGGTTACAAATAAGTGGGGGCCATTGAGTCCATCTGGTAGTCAGCAGTCTACTGGTCCAAGGATCCCATCCAGCTGTTTCTTGGAGGAAAACAGGACATCACCTTTAACCATATGGCTGTGTAGCTTGAGGAAAACAGGTATAGTTACAAAAAGGGATAAATAATCACAAATCATGGTGGAATAAGCAGCACAGTCTGATAGTCTGTCCTCGAGTATAACCAATCAAAATAATTTACAAACACTCTAGGACTCATAGGGTTCATAGCCACTAACCCATACCACGCATGTGTGCTGTAGTGTACTTAGGTTTGATGCAAAGGAGCCTTTTTCTCTCATTCATAACTAAATCCATTTGAGACCCCCAGCCACTTTACAAGATTGTGCCCCACCAGGAGCAGATGCTGGATCTAATAATAGCTGAAAACCAAATTCTGTAAAGTGCATTCTTCAGAGTCTGTTTTGTGGATTCAACTAGCTTTTAAAACGTTAAGCAAAAAGTTTAAATAATGATCTACACCCAAATCACAATGAAAGACTATTCTTGGCCACAGAAAGGCAACAATCTGACCCTGGAAGCTGAAAAACTTAAAATGAAGAAAGCTAAGAGTGAAAGAGAAAACTGAAATGACAGTAGCTGTCAAAAACATCTTCTCCTGCAAACCAGTGTGCAGAAACACCTGTTTTTATGTGCAAAAACAAACAACCCCTTTTAAAGGCAGTGCATTTTGAAAGTCAGGATTGTAAACTGGGCTCAAAGGCCAAAGATAAACCATCTGCACTCAAGGCCTTCATCCTCTTCCTGCTTAATGCTATCAAACACATATAGACCTTCACTGAGGATAATATCCTTGGAGGAGCTTAACTAGGTTGAGATGGGACACAGGTGAAGGCTGCATGCTGCTTAAAAGACCTCAGGGAACTACAAAGCACTGACAAACCTGCCATGCAATTCAATTAGACCTTGTGCACTTGAGAAATTACTCCCCGTTCAGATATCTAAAAATGGAGAAACTGATCAAGTTAATAAATTATCTTTCACTCCCAAACCGCTATTTATTTTGCACCTGAAATCTGTCACGTTGATCACCTGCTGATGTTTTCCTGTGGGCAATGATGCACCTCTGTTTGGGTCCCCGAGCCTCAGCGGTCTTAGGCTGAGAATTGTATCATCCAGCGAGATCTCACCACAAACAGCTGTAATGTCTGAGACTAACTCGGAAAACAAAACCACAAAAAAAGAAACAAACTGAATATGCCCCTAAATGTTTACGTGCGCCCATGTAAAGGTCACAAGACGCCTAACGCAAACATCAATATTAAGTCAAATATTCAATAAACTTGCCCGAGAGCAATCTTCAGGAATTGGGTTTTCAGTAAATGTCACGAGGTTGTAAATGTAAAACGGTCTTTACCAGGTGATACCTCATCCACGCTGTCCAAGGAGAGGTCATGGAGAGAAGACACTTGAGATGTGACCATTACTCTTGAGTCGGAACATGAAAAACATCACTTAGCCGCTGACCACTAGTGCCCTATTGCCAGCTTTCCACTGCAGCCTGCAGACACATTGATGGCCATAGGCGTTCTAAGGATGGGAGCTGCTGTACACAGCTCATTCCAACTTGGAGCTCGAATGGGAGAAGGCAGGAGCTCCAAACAGCAAAACCAGAGGGAAAAGCTTTTTTTATTGGTATGGAGATTCACCTTGTGTAGAGTGCGTACTGAAAACTGTAAGATACAGTTTCTTTAAATGTTGAAGACCTGAATTGCATCAAGCATTGAATATTCTTATGTCACCCCTCTAACACTAACAAGCTTTTGCAGCGCAGGCTGCATCTAGGCAACATTATAACAAAACACAAATGACCCTGAACACACCATGGACATGAGAAACTTCATTATAATCCCTACTGGGAGAAAATGGGGATTATTTTTTACATTTGGCATAGTTTTTCTTTGAATAAGAGTAATAACCCTAAAGAAGGAAGGTTTTTACTTAAAAGTTGCAACAGGGCGTAAATCAATTCATCTCATTGTGCTCATTTAACTGGGAGATTTCTTGTGAGGGGGTGCGCTAGCATTCCTTAATCATAATATTTGACAACAGCAGCACCAGGTTCTTATCAGCAAAAATATTTCCAAGACGACAGTACTGCTGTACAGGGGGATAGAAAAAAATTGTGGGTTGTGAGGTGTAAGACTTTGCTGTATGCGATAAGAGTGTCTTAAAAGGGCTTCATTTTGACTCTGTACACTTCTTAAGAACAGCTGGACTGCTATGGGTGCGTTTTTTTTACTCAGAACGACTTCTGTTCAACACACTAGATAAATGTTCTTCTTTAAATGGTTTAACACCCATTTAAAGAAATGTCACAAAGTGTCTGAGAACTGGCTAACTTGTCAACACTAATTGTTAACTCTCAATCACAGAACTGTTATCAATTAGAGAAGGTCATTTCAGCTCATTACGCAGATCCAGCTACTAACCCTGAGCCCTTTTCCACTTTTCAACCAAGAGGTCCAACCAACAGTGCAAAACCTCAACTGACATTCTGTCTAGTATAACTGTGAAAAGGAGCACAACAGATCCCCTAGTCCAAGGATTCTTACCAGGTTGAAAGGAAAGACACTTTAAAATAAGGTAAATGGGTTTAAATACTTTAAATACTTAACCAAAACAGCATTGTCAGTCATCTCAATAACACGCAACGTTGCAGCCTTGCGTCTTTTAAAAACTCACCCCAGGGCACCCAGGTTCTTTGCAAAACTCACCAAGCCCTGATTCTGCAGTAGTGACAAACACCACCTCATACATAATCCAAAGGCTTGCAGCACCAACCTGAAACACAACCTGCGCAGTTCCCCAGTTACAGAAACACTAATAATCACAACACAAGTAAGCTGTGTAGAAAGAGACACAACAAGCGGGCACTTTTGAGATTATCCTCACATGAAGGTGACTGTCTGTTAAAACCAGGCTTAATCCCAAAATCTCTCCCGCCTGGCTTTCTGCTAGCTCGCTACCAATACCAGTCGACACGACCACAACCTACACACCTAGACTGTCACGTCCTCTCTCAAAGAGAAAGTCTCGCAAAACACCCCACGATGCAGTCAGGGCTTAAAGGAAGAAAAAAAAATAGCGCTTCGTGGATGACTGTTTCTTAAAACCAGTGACGAAATCCAATTCGATTTTCAAAACCGATGTATCTCTCTTTGCGTGTAAAACGCCTGGCTAACACCCCTGCTTCAGCAGAATGAAAGCAAGTGTGTGGCAAGGTGGGCTGGCCGTCACCTTGGAGAACAATACCCACAGGCCCCTCCACGGTTGTTTTCACTCGCACCCGGCCGCCATTTTCTAGCAGAGCAGGAAGACATGTTGGGACAAACACAACAAAAGAGGAGCGGCCATTTTTTTCCCCAACTGCGGGCAGAGGAGAGGCCAGGAATGCCACGAAAATGTGGGGGTTTGACGCCAAACGTTCCCATGAAACCCTCCCAAACCCCCCCCTTAAGGCTCTTCACTTCACGTCCTAGCACACTAGCATTTATTATGAAGACCCGAGCAGTCGCGGGGATTTTGTTTAATCCCTTCCTCTTACAGGTAGGTTAGCAGAGCCACGGACCCGAGAGCGATCCGGTAACGCTCAGCAGAAAGCGACCGGGCAGGACACGTCTCTCCCGATCACTTCGGGGGCATCAATTAAAAAGGCAAATCGCGGCTTGTATTACAACCCCCTCCCTCTCTCCCCCGCCAAGCCGAGCACGGCGACGCGCAACTTGTTGGCAACTTCTCTCGCCCTCCCCCCCCCCCGGGGGAGACCCGGTTCCGCTGTCGGCGGCGCCTGCTCCGGCCGGGGGCAGCGCATGATCCCCGCTCGGGCCCGGCTCGCTCACCTGATGTGGGGGATCCCGACGCCCCCTTGCAAGATCTTGTACAACTTGCTTTCGTACAGCAGCTGGGGGTGCCTGGCCTTCTGGGACTCCAGTTTCACGGCCACTTCCTGAAAGCACACGGAGAGAGAGGGGCGCCGTCGTTAAGCCCGAATAAACCGGCCCAGGGTTAAAATCGCTTCTTTCTTTTCTTTTTTTGTTGGTTTGTTTCTATCCGCGAAGCAAGCTGCTGCCCGCAGCGGGAGAGGAATTAACTATCCTCGACTCACCTCCGGGGCCGCAGCAGCTTTCGCGACATTTTTAACTCGTTTCTCGGCTAATAAGGACAAACGTTAACGTTACAGAGACCATAACCCACCCGAGAGCTAAAGTTTCGTTGGGGTTGTTGGTTTGTTTAACCCCCACCCACCCCCAATGCTACGCGAAATAACTCGAGTATCTCTCGGGCTGTTGTTGTTTCTCTCCGAACATTTCCTTTACCTCTCCATTTGTGATATTGATGGCCAGGTAAATGTCCCCGAAGGATCCGGAGCCGATTTTCCGGACCAGCTTGTATTTTCCACCGACTATGAACTCGGCCTTGGAGCCGCTGGTGCTGGCCATGTCCCCCGCAGACCGTGGGAGCCGGGGCAGACAGAGAGAGAGGATATTCGGGGTACCGATCCGCCGCCCTTTTCCGCCTCTTCGCTAGCAGATCATAAAAAGAGTCCCGCCGACGGGCGCGTCGAGGACGGAGGGAAAGGGACAGAGGCAACGGAAGAAGAGAGAGGGGGAGGAAAATATTTTGGAAGCAGGAGGAAGATGGGTGGGGGGGTCGGTTTACAGCATGGGTCTGTGAGGCGACGGCTTTCGGGATGGAGGAGTGAATTAAAGCCGAGGTCTTTTGTGTCGGCGGCGCTGGGTGTCTCGTCGTCCCAGCCGACGTCTTTTCTCTCTTTTCGAAGCGTATCGGTCGGAGTCCCCCCCCCCCTCAGACCGGTCTCTTCTGGTGGCGAAAAGGACACTACAGCAAAGGGGGAGGAAAAAAAATAAACTCCCCCCTCAATTAATCGACGCTTTCTCGCAGCGCGGCGTCCTGGACCGAGGAGCGACGGGTTTTTTCGTCGTCGTTGTTGTTGTTGTTGTTGTTGTTTTTTGCCGTTAATCGGAGCGACCGGCCGTGTCGTCTTCCTCTCCGGCGGGTCTGAGCCTCGTCGCCCTTCCGTTGGCTGGGGAATTCTGTCGGAGTCGCGCGGCTTTCTTCCCACCCCCGAGCGCGGCTCGCTCACTCCGCCATCTTGTCGTCCCTCTGTCGGTCTCGAGGCGGATCGGCTTCTAAGCGCACACACTGAGCGAGACACTCTGACTCGGGGGGAGGGGGGAGGGAGGGATGAGTGAGCGAGCCGTGCGGCCGAGGGGGGGAGGGGCGGTGACGTCACGGACCCGCGGGAGCGCGCGTCCAGAACGCCGGCGTCAGGAAGGGGAGGGGCGTGCGCCGTGCGCGCTTTCCACGTTCAGCTGCCCCGTCACGTGATGCACGCCCCCCCCCTCCTCCTCCACCACCACCGCCGCTGGCCAGGTTCATTAGCTAAAGTCATTTCCCCCCAATGTTGCCTTAGCCTCACACTCTGTGTCATACTGCTGTAATGTACAGCATTTAAGGCAAGAAGGCTTTGCATTTCCACACTCGCTATGAAGAACTACACAGTGAGGAACACGGAATGAGTGGGCTCGCCCACGTCTGGGACCCTAAAAAAAAGATGAAAAGGCGAGAGGACGCCACTAACCTCGAGTTAGTACCCGATCGATGGGGGTCTCATAGGGTGCTTTCTCGAAAGGAGCTGGGGCATCCCTTTCAACTGCATGGCCTGGCAGCCTGGCGCCTGCTCCTGCAACACTTGGGGTAAACGCACGTCTCCTGCTCTCCGTTTCTGACGATTAAACTTCGTTCCTCTGAGGGTTATAAATGGGTGGATCAAAAAAAAATATATATACTTCTTTCCCCGTTTCTTTTCGCGGGAGTAACTAGGTCTGTAAGTCCCTCTGCTCCGGGCCGATCCAGTGTGGAGAGCAAACTCCTCTCGCCAGGAGCAGCAGGCCTCGCACCCGGGCTCGGCCACCCCTGTTGAACTCATGCCTTCCTTGACTGAACCTCGTTCCTTTCTGCTTCTCCGCACTGGCAGATTTTAAGCTTCACTATGATGATGACCGTGAGTAAAGTCGCTTTAAATCTTTTGACTACCAGAGCCGAAACCGGTTAAAAGGGTTTTGAACACTCCTGATAACGTCTCGGTTATCCACGAGAACACAAGGGGACTCTTAAGACCCAGGAGGTCCTGGTGTCCTCCGGTCTCTCTTCCACCCCGACTAATCAATTAAACAATTAAACCGACTGTAATTGTTTATTTTAGCCCATCTCACGTGTTTGTTTACTGATAGGATTTTCGGACTTCACCCAGGTGTTAAAGGTGCATCTCGGGGCATGACCAACAGGCAGGGGAGCTTGTTCCCTCCTCCCACACCCCTTTGTGCAAAGGTGTTTTGCCCTGTCCTCGTCTTCATACCCCCGAGGTAAGAAGGGTGACCTTCACACGCCTTTGGAACGTCCCTCGAAAACAAAACCCGAACACCTGTCCTGAGAGCTGGCGGGCCTCGGCGCTGGGGGGGGGGTCTCACGACTGGGCCTCGCTGGCCAGAGGCATAGAGGATTAAACGCTCATCCGGTCTCGGGGCGGTTCGGCCCTCGCCGCACTGCTGCAGCTCCACTACAAACCCTCTTCGGCTCCAGAGCTGACCGCTGGCTGGATCGGGGCCAGGGCGGGTCAGTCTCGGGACAGCAGGCCTCTTGAAAACAACAGGTTGCTGCTAGATGTGGCGTCAGTGGACCAGTAGGTGGCAATCCGGCCTCTTTAATCTCCCTTAATTTAATTGGTGAAGCGTTTATTTTTTTTTACTTCTCCAACTGTGTGTTCCAGGCGTGTGCAAACTTTCAGTGGAAGAAGAAGAAGAAGAAGTCTAAAACACTTTGGGGCCGAAATGCTCAAGTTAATTCTTATCATTCATTATTTACTGACACTCGGTAAATCTGTAGGAAACTACTCACTCTTCGTTTAGGTGCGTAAATAACCGTGTGGCTTTTTTAAGGCCCGTCTCCAGCCCCGGCTACGTGCGGGTTTGCTGTACAACATGGCTACATGGTGGAAAGGAAAAAGCTCTCACTTCTCTTTTACGGCAAGCCCAACCGCGTTAGTGATGTCAACCAGAGAAAGAGATTATTTTTTTTTTAAGTGGGGGCTCTGACTTATTATTTATTTTGCCCACAGTACCGGATAAGTAACTTCCAACTCTTTACTAGATTCTAATTAAAAATCCGACGGGTCGCCTTGCTACACGAACAGTTCACCAGGGAGAGCGCCGTGTGACAGCCGACCCAAATATGTTCAAAATGGAGGACTCCGACTCTGTCATGCCCCAGCGGAGGGCTCGCATGGATCCGCGGCGCCATCTAGCGAAACCCCTCCCGAAACACGCTCTTGTTTTTTTTTTGTTGTTGTTGTTGTTGTTGCGAGGATCCATTTTACGAGGGGGAAAGCGTGTGGTTCTGCAGCTAGTCTATTTGTTACGATACATATCAAGAAACGGCTGGACCCGATCACCTGAACGTGACCCGCAGATCACATAGCTAAGAGCTACTAGCCCCCAAACGGGGCTGGGGTGACCAAAAGGCCTCCTCTCGTTCCTAAACCTTATTAAGTGTCATTATTTTATCTAGTTCAGGTGGGTAGCTGCGTCAGCGCGCGTAGGCTGCAAAGGAACAAGTAATAGGTTTATTCCATGCTGAAAAGAGAAGATAGAAAACACAACGTTTTGGCCGTGGAGCCTTCTCCGGGTGTGATTATTATTTTATCTAGTTGACACAGATCATTTGCAGTGAAGCTCATGACCAAGATTGCCGTGACAATATGGACTGGACGCTAATGACACATCAAAACCCTCTTTCATAAAAGGCACAGCCACGATCCTGGCTGTGGTGACTCTGGTGGGGGTTCATTTCCCGCTCATTGGCGAAGGAAAGACGGGTTTCGGCGGTGGAGCCTTCTTCAGGCGGGAGGGAGAGAGGGAAAGCAGGGCAGAAAAAGAGACCCAGGAGGCCAGAAGACAGCAGGCGAGAAGGAGCAGGGAGGAACTGGGCAGAAAGCAGGAGAGAATGAGAGTCCGAACCCAGGGAGAGAGGTGTGGAAATTGTGAGTGTGGCTGAGTATATGTAGGTTATATAGTAGAACTGTTAGTAGCATACATCAGTGTTGTTTTTGGTCTCATTGCTTTGTCATAAACTACAGGTAAAAAGCTAGAGTGGGCTAGGTTTACCATGGGCTCTCTTTGCTTTTGAAGTACTGTTCCAAGTTCATTACGACATTGTACTGTGCAAAACCACTGATAATGAGGTCGTTTACCCGGGATCTCGCCGCCTGCAGATCGTAACACGGTATTTTGTTTTCCAGAACCAGAATTTTAATAAAACACCGTGTTCTCGGGCGCGTGAGAGAGTTTGCCCGCGTGTCCGAGCCCGCGTGCAGGACCCAGAGCCCCTCGGCCACCCTGACCCCTGGAGTGGCTACTGTAGTGACAGGGGTCCAGGCCCACCGGAGCTCCTGTGTGCAAAACAAAAAACAAATCTCCCGACCAACCAGCCCGGCGAGCGGCAAATGGACGCGCAAGCCTGAGCTCTGCGCAGGGTCACACCGTCCCTGAGGGAGCCATGGATCTGTTCCAGTTGCTGTTGCCCAGTGGAAGCACGTGACCCCACGCCACGCAGCCCCGGAGAAGAGACGATGAGTGGGAGATGCCCTGCCGAGCGTGTGGGGGGACGGGCTGGAAGCGGTCAGTTACAGCGAGGGGGTTTCTTGTGTCAGAGGGGGGCATCAGTGCCAGGTCAGGAGACCTCCCGTCAGGCCACTGTCCGCAGGTCTTTCACAGATCCTCCCAGCAAGAGCCCCAACCGGGTTTTAAGACAAAAGGACGTTTCTTCCCTGTGAAGAATCTCCTGGGTGGTTAAAATCGAGAGCTGTCAGGCGGACAGCAGGCTTGTCGGTCCTCATGAGGTCAAGAAGGAGGGTTTTTTTTTTTGTCAGCAGGAAGCTCCTGGCTCAGCTCGTGACCTGCTGTGTGTCACCCTGGGGTGCCTTTCTGAACTCCTCCTGGTGCTGTTGGATGAGACACTGAAGTGAAGCTTGTAACTCAGACACCCTGTCTGCCACTGCAACTGTTAATGCACAGATCTCCTCCTGTCACTTTGCAAGTGTCAGCTAACCGAATTATTATCAATAATAATGTGCTTTTCCTTGAGCTGATGGAAAGGACCAGACAGATATTTGACAGCAGGTAGACACGGGTAGACAGCGTGTTCTCTCCAAAAACTACTGTTCCTCGGATCCGTCATTAAATAGACATTAGAGTCAAGAATTCTTCAGCAATTTGCAAGTTGTTTTACATAGTGTAACGGTGGTGTTCTTTTATCACTTAGGAGAAAGCACGTTCCAGATGAGGACTTAAAACAGGAAGACAGTGCTCGCCTAAGGTTTGAGGAACAGGAGCGTCTCAGCAGATTCTTCTCAATATTGAGTGATTTCCAGATTCCGGAGCACGCAAGTTTTAATATAGCTGCAAGCAAATAGACGTTGCTTTAAGGATAGTTTTTGACATTTGGGAATCTTAAAAGAACCGAAGTAAAACTTAAACATCAGCTTTTTAAAACCGGAAATTTATGTTAAGGACCTTGAAAGCCGTTTAACCGCCGAGGGATGGCGTGCGGTTATTGCTGAGCTTCAGTGCGCAAAGATTGGAAAATCCAAGTTTCCCTTTCCTTCATCAGTTCCACATCAGGGCTCTCATTAGTTTTTCCTCCGACCGACAAGCGCATTAAACGCTGGGCCTGTCAGGCTACAGGCGGCGGCAGTGCGATGGGCTTATTCCGCAGTCGTCCCGGAGACATGATTAGAATAAGCAGCGCTTCTTCCAAGAAAATAAAAACGCCATTAAGCGGAGGGCTGATATCATGGAAATGTGCAGAGCCACGTTTCTCGTTGTCTGATGAAATAACTGGGGCTCATTGTTCCGTGAAAACAGAATCCGCTCCAGACAGTTTGATTAAGTGCTGCTCATTGCTGACCAATGTCTGTACAATCAAGGGAACCTCATTGCGACATTACCGCAGCTCCTCGGTCTCTCTGTGGTTCGGTAATAAGGTCATTTGGTTTCACAGTACAGAGAGTAACAGCTTTCTTTAAAAGGGCCCCTTGACACCGTTTCTGCTTGCACGTATCGAAA